GTGTAAGAGAATGCAGCAGGCCACAGAGATCCATCTTCTCCAGAGAATTAATGGAGAGGTTCCAAGGGAATGATCTTAACTCTACCTGATGGCTGAACCTCAGTGAGCCAAGGACCCAACCCCCCCTTAGGGCCCACCTCTTTAAGGCCATCACCTCCCAACTTCCCTCCACTAGGAACCAAGCTCCCAACACATGAACCACTGCAGGGGAACTTAAGCCACATCCAAACCACAGCACTCACCCTCAACTTCAAGGAAATAAATACAAGGCGCTCAGAAGAGGATGCTCAAGAGAAAAGCTGAACACCACACATAATATCTCATTTAATACCTCACAGCTCTACTTACACCTATTTTAAAGTCAAATAAGACCCCAGTAAGCAATAGTTTGTGATGTTTTACACAGCCACATCTATCATCAAAATGACTCCCAGTCATGTAATTGGATGTGGCAATTGAACAGCAACTAGTCAAGGCTCCTGGAAAAAGGAAATACTTTTGGTTTTCTCCCACACAAGACCCTTTCCTTTTAAAGGAACTCTACACTCAAACTATTGTCTTGCCAAGTTCAATGCCACAGAAGGGGGTATGGCTTAGGACAGGAAAAATAAAAAGATATAACGCCAGATGTCCTCTTTCCATGTCTCCTATTCATCAAGCCTTGGTCACTAGATGCAACTCTTCCATTTCTGATGTCATCATTCCACTTAATGGTCATCTGACTCTACTGGCAGTGACCAGAGGGGCCTTCTCCTGAGAACAGTGGCGGCTCTCCTGCAACACAGACACCATCTCTGCAACATGATATTGACATTCCTTGCTACCTTGCTTTCTGCAAAGGCTTTCATTAGAAATTCTCTTTTCAAAGTAGGGTCTCACATTATGCCCGGGCTGTCCCACCGTGATCCTTCTACTTGTACTTGTCCATGTCTCTGTGGATCACAGCACCTAGCTAGTGCACCTAGCTAGGATTACAGGCACTCACCACTACACCCAGCCACTGATTGAGATATCATCTAATGAATGGTTGTTTTTTTTTTCCTTTTGGGCTGTTGCCCCTAATCTTGACCTGTCCAGTATCTAGAACTACAGGCTTGACCCTGTAGTTCAGCCCAATGCTTTCTCTTATCTGGTTATCACAGCTGAGAAATTCTGTCAGTTCTTGTTTGACTCCTTTGGTTTTTAGGCTACTTTGGTACCTTTGATTTCATACAAATAGAGATAACATATCTAATCTTTTTGTTGTTGTTGTTTTGTTTTGTTTTTTGCCGGTCATGAGGCCTGAACTCTGGGTCTGGGCGCTGTCCCTCTGCTCTTCAGCTCAAGGCTAGTGCTCTACCACTGGGGCCACAGTGCCACTTCCGGCTTTTTCTGTTTATGTGGTGCTGAGGAATCGAACCCAGGGCCTCATGCTTGCAAGGCATGCACTCTACCGCTGAGCTACCTTCCCAGCCCCAACATATCTAATCTTGTAGGCAGATAAACAGTTAATAAAAACTTCCATTATTCCCAGTGGCCAGCAAGTGATGGAACAACAGGGCACAGCTAGGAGATGGTCAGGGGGACCCATCCAAACTTCTCAAGAAAGCTGGCAGGTGTTTGGAACCCTCCCCTCCCCATTTGCCACACACATGCTTCACTGAACATGACCGGTCATTTTTCAAGTTCCATCTGGTGGGCTTAAATCTCAGATGTCCTTAGGTGATGTGACTGATTTCCATTTCTGTGATGGCCCACATTCCTCCAGGAGGTCCTCAACCGGTGCACCCTAGTCTCTTCTATTGATGATGCACAAACTAAAAAGAATCCCTCCTCCCACTCCCATCCCATGCCCCATGTGGCTGGTAACGCATCTGGTGTGTTGGCTGGGAAGTTAGGGCTGACGCATGTCTTTTTTCAACTTGGATTCAGCAAAAGCTGAGAATATTAGTCCTTGTTCCAAGAATAAGGAAAGACTTTTCATGCCCATGTATCTTTGTGCCTGGATTCCATATAGGAAATGACTCTCTGAGGTCCCTTGAGACTAGGTTACTGATGCTTCTGGAAAGCTTATCTGAGAGTGGAATGAGGAGAAATGCCTTCACAACTGATGGGCTTCCATGCTAAGTAGCCATAGCAAAATCACAAGTGCAGCCTTTAGATGCCAGTGCGGCATATCCACCCAGAGGAGACCACAAACAGATACTCATTGGATTCTTAATGACCATGGAGAAGAGAGAGCTTCATGCCACCCAGGCTCACACCAGAACCATTGGTTTTGACAGACCGAATTATTTGCTATTCCTGATAGATGGTTACTGGGCCATGGGTGCTACAAATTAATCCCACCATGCATTAGCAGTCCTAATTCATGACAGGCAATAAGTGCCACCCCCCCCCCAAAAAAAGAAAAGAAAACATCATTCAGGAAGTTTAAAATCTAATGGGGAAGAAAGATACATATAAATAACCAGAGTGCAAAGTATTATTTTAAGAAGCATCTAATACATTTGGTGGTAGGTTTCCTGTCCTTCCATATTATGAGTTATAATTAAGATTTGTAGTTCTGATGTAGGAAGAGCTTATGTCAATATAGAGTTGAAAGAAAGGAACCACTGGGATAAACCTGTGGAAGCTTCCAGCCAGTCACAAAGAAAGAAATGGAACATTGTAGATTAAAAAAAAAAAAAAAAAGGACCTGTCAGCTTCTTCAGGTGACAGAAAGGGGTCTACGTCAGTAAACGGAATTTCTTCTTTGGTTTTAAGGCAGCCTTTGGACCAAAAGCAATGTGAAGAAGCCCAGAACCTTCAGATTTAGCCAAAACCCTGTCTAGTCTATAAGAAGAGTTTCTGCTAAGAAGCCTCCATTCATAAACTTATTAATTCACTCAAAAAGTATTGTGATGTAGCAGTAACTTGACCTGTGTGGTGTTACAGGGGCCTTCACCATGAAGTGGACCCTGAGATGGGGCCCAAGCTGGTATGATTCCATTTTGAGCTTTATCTTTGTTTTAGGGATTTTAGACTTGATGGGCCTAATTCCCGGAATGAAGCATTTGGTCCCCCGCCCCTTAACAACCTAACCCACCCTTGATTGTTGAGTTAAAGATTGACTGACAAAACAGATAGGTTGTAATCTGGCTCAAACTGGTGACACCACTTGCTTAAGGTAAACCCTGCCTTTTGTACATGCTTACAGTAAACTCTGCCTTTTGCCCACCAAAAGGTAGACCTCGCCTTACCCACTAAATTTGTGTGCTATTTTAAATGAAGGTGATAGGCTGGTTTAAACAGCCATTATAGACAAACTGTAACCTCATTGGCCACCTGTGTGTGGTCTGGTATGACTGTATAATCCTTTGTGTGTGTTACGACCCCACTGGTTACTTGCGCGTGACCAAGCTCAACCTCATGGATTTTGCCTTTAAAAAGAATGGGGGCCGCTGGGGATCACAGTATCAGCTCCCGAGCCTGTGCTGTGGCCCTGACCGGTCAGTGTAGAAACCTTCTCAATAAAGTTGCTTCTTTGTTAACAACTTTGCTGTGGTGGGCTCTGTCACTCCAGATGACTAGGTGGGCTTGCCTGCCTGAGTAGGAGTCTTCCTATTACAACCATGAACCGGAGGTGGGCAAGCCAACACATGCCCCCCCCCCACACACACAGCAGCACAAACTGTTCATAAGCAAAAACAAACAGAAGACACTTTTCTGTAAAGACAGAATTTTAAATGATTTATTTAGATAATTGTTCTCACTTGAAACCGTTGGGAAATGCCTACCAGAGGCCTGGGAATCTATAGACTCACAAATTAAGTCCAAGATGGCTTTGAAACCTTTTTGACCCACTAGGAAACCAAACCTACTTATATACTGAAATCTGCTCAGCTGAGACCACCAGCCTCCTACCTACAAATGGAATTATAGCAGGTCTGAATGAACCAAATCTGCTTTCCAAGTAGATACAGGACCCAGCAGGGGGACACATCTTCCTGTTGGCTGATTCTGTCTGAATAGGGAGAAGATGGCCACTAACAACATGTCCTGAGACCTGGGAAAGCCCTCTCTGCCCCAGCACTACCACATGTGGACTAGTAGCATTCTTTTAGAGTCTTTGTAATGGGTCTCCAAAACTCTTGTAATAGAAATTGCCTACTTTGAAAAGGTCAGTGAATTAAGTCTTAACATCCACACGCCTCATCACCAAAGGAGCAAATTATTTACTGGGCTCTTGGGCAAACAGAGAGCAATAGCAAGGTAGGAAAGGAAATGGCAGAGTAGAGATTACAAACCATTGTTCTACAATAGGTAGTGGTCCACAAGGATAGGCAGGTCAGAAAGGGAAAAGAAAACATAAAGGAAGAAAAAGGGAGCAAGAAAAAAGAAGAGAAAAAAGGGCATTTGTACCTGCAAAATCTCTTTGCCTAAGACAACCTCTGTTTCTAACCTCCTCCAGGGGGCTATTTAGAGAGAAATGGCCCAGTCAGGGTGCCATTTTCAGTTATTAAAGAAGCGCGCTGAGCCTCTGGCTCTGAGCAGCACTTGACCCAGAGGGTGATGGGCAGAGGCAGAGGAAAGGGAATTAACCAGATCCCCTGTGGCTCCAGTCTGCACACAGCAGGGCTGATAACCACGTCCCTCTCAGCATGGATTCCCCAGAGCAGCTCTTTGATTGCAGAAGCCACTGCTGTCCGGGGCTGAACTGCAGCGAAGGACTAGGGGCCAAAGCCATGAGGGGAGGGGGAAGCCAAGAGAGGTCCCCGGGAAGAAATGTAATAATTAACACATTTGTCACCTGGTGGTCTAGAGCCATAAACCAGTGATGATAAAATAGCAACAATGCTGGCATAATTATCCTCTCCCAACAACTGCCAAAGGAGTGGTGATTAATCGGTCTGGAGGTGCTTTTCTAAGCAAGCCCAGCCCCTGGGCCAGGGTAAAACCCACATGCCCACTTCCACCATGGAGGAACACGCAGTTGACTTGAGGATTTTTTCCTCCTCATCTGAAGAAACATGAATAAATCACACATCATCAAGTTTATCATTTTTCTCCTCAGAGAAATATGAAATATTACAGATTCTCTCCAGTACATCAGCTTCTTCACACTCCATTAGCATGAAGGGACTATTTTTGATATAATTTATCAAGCCACTGGCCTCATTTCTCCCATTTCCTCCAAAGTGGAAACATGGTTGCAGCGGACTCAGCTTGTCCTTGCTCACCAGCAGCCGCGCTGCCCTCGGGGCTGGAGACAGAAGTGGGGGGACACAATTAGTGACAGATCACTAACCTGTGTCCCACCCACAAAAGGCTGAGAGGGACTAACCAAAAGAGACAGGAAGGGTGCGGTCTAAGTGTATCTCACAAGTTCTCACTGGGGTGAAAACACGGTCTTACATTTGTTTTTAAATGAGAATCTGTGTGTTTTGACCTACCACACTGCAACTGTAACCTAGTAAAGAAGCTATAAGCACTTCATGAAAACTCTAAGAGATGTGAAAACTAGAGAATATTAAAACATTTGCTCTTTTTACTCGTTCCTCTCACTGGAAGTCCTGTCAGCAGGGCTGAGAACAACAGAGTCTGCTCAGTTTCATATCATTGTTATCTTTGTTAGTGAGGCCCTACTATACTCAACATGATTTCCAAGTGGCTCTGTGCATGGCTAAGCTAATGTGCTCCAGTACAGGGCTGCAATTACACAAGAGACATAAGATGTACATGGATAAGAAAAAAATTTCATTTGGATCTTGAAAACTGAGTACAATTTCAAAGTCTCAATGAGGTTTAAGATAGGAAAATTAGAATGTCTTAGAGCTGCATAACCTTGAATTCCAGGGTGGTGTCAGAGTTGGGGGGAAGACAGGGATAGGAGATCTGCAAAGGTGCGGCTGGGATGGTCCCTGATGGGAAGGTGCAGCTGGATGGCCCCCAACTGGGGGGGGGAAGGGGTCGGGAGGTATGGCTAGAATGGCCCCTGATGGGGAGCCACAGCGAGCCCTGGCACTACCACAGACAACAGGAGCCACTGGATGATCCTAGTCATAGCACCAATGATGGAAACCATGTTCAACACTCTCACTGAAGACTAGCATGTTTTTAACTGTGAAGGACGACACAGGAATGGTAAATCAAGATCAGGAAGACATGTGAGAAGTCTCCTGAAGCAGAGTCTGCTGGACATCTTTAGAGCAGAGGACCCTCTTTCTATGTTCTGAGTCTGCTGCAATAATGCAGAAACAAGGGCAAGAAGACCTATACAAGAATGTTTGTATAAGCATTATTTTAACTAGAGAAATAATCTAAATACTCATAAACACAATGGTCACATTATTAAAATGGCATACTTATAATGGAAGAGCCAAACAGAACAACCAGCATTCCTTTCATAAATGAAACCTTCAGTTAAAAAACTGTAAAAGCAGGCTGGTGTGAGTGGCTCTTGCCTGCAGCCCTACCTATTCAGGAGGCTGAAAAAAAGGAAGAATTCAGTTCAAGGTCTACCCAGGCAAAAAGTTTACAAGATCTCTTCTCAACCCCCAGCTGGTCATAGTTGCACCTACCTGCTATCCAAGCTACTTGGAGAGGCTGAGGCAGCGAGAATTGCCATTCCAGTCCAATCTGGACAAAGTCCATGAAAGTCCATTTCAATGGAAGAAGCTGAAGGCAGTGACACACAACTGTCATCCCTGCTACAGTAAAAAGCCTAAGATGGGTCAATCTCAGGTACAGGTGCATGCTAGGGTGGGAAAAATAACTGCTGCAAAACATGGCTGGGGGTGTGGCTTGCCTAGTAGTGTGAGCCCCAGACTTCAAACCTCACTAGGGAAAAAAATGGCAAAGGTAATTAAATCTTACGATATATTTTCTAACACATTGAGAAACCACATAATATTCACTGATTATACACCTGAAGAGTCTATGAAGAAATCTAGAACTGTGGTTCTAGGTCATGACCTGGGAAGAGGAGACCATGAGGAGGGCATCAAGGTAAGGATTGCACAGATGGTCATGAGGTCATTCTTCCCAACTGTATTTAACAGTAAAATGTAAAAGATGAAGAATCACTCAGAGAGTAGTCAGAGGCATCTTTGGGGTAACCACTTTAAGAAAATGGACAAGTTACTAATCATTAAAGCAGGCTGAGGAAGAGCAGTCAAAGAGGAGACCTCAGAGCCAGAGACATCCCGGGGGAGGAAACCCAGCAGGCCACAGGGCTCAAGAGGTGTAAGGATGTGGCTGCAACGTGTGCACCTGGGCCCTACTGGGCAGGAAGACCACCTGAGATGAAGAAGGACTGAAGGGCTGGCAAGAAGGCAGTGGAAGGGGTGGAGACAAAGTTAGAGAGAGGGCCAGGGTGGGAATGGGAGGGGGTAACTGCAATGGAAAACAAATGGAACCCTGGTTGGAAGCCTTCTAACCCCCAAAACACTGAGAACACAGCAACAGCTAGCCCTGGAAAAGACCGAGGGTGTAGGTATGTGTTTTCTTTTCAGAAAATTCCAAAGTTGGCAATAAAATTCACTCCCCTACCTTCCTTCTGAAGGAACAGAATTTTGTACTCTGCCCATTTTTCTCCAAATGATAAAAAGTATTTTCTTCCATTTTAGGACTGAATTGGGACAGGATAGCTCGGAAAGTAATTCAAAGCAAAATAAGAACAACATGCCAGCCTCTCATATTTTTCTTTGTACAGAAATGCAATAGGGTAACTTATTTTTGAAAATCTGAAGTTTATTAGGCTGGTATTTATTTTGGTTTCCCTGGAGGGTACAATTATGCGTTAGAAAGACCTGTGGCTGGAAGACTTTCACAATAAACTATTTCTCTGCTTACCACATGTACCAGGAGGAGCAAAGAAAGTCTCCTTTGTGTAGATTTTTGCTGAGATGACTCCTCTCTTCTGTCGGCAGCTGCATTTATTCTGGCATGACTCTGACCACTAGCTACACCACAGAGTGGCAGTCCGCGGGGATTTCACAAAAGGTTCATGGTGAGCCCCGATCTCAAAGGGCCTGAGAGAGGGAATCAAATACCACCCTGAAAGCTTCTCTTACAACCAACACATTCATCGCAGCACTGGCCATGAAGGGCTGGCCAGACTGGCGGTGAGCTGGGAGGGGCTGGCCTCAGGGCCCTACGCTCTCCCCAGACCAGAAAATCTACACTACACTTTGACATCAACTTTCACAAGAAACAGCCCTTGTTCTGGCAAACTTTTGGCTCCCATCCCCGCTTCTTGAGAACCCCACTTTGCAAGTTGAGTGCATGGGCCATGCTTCCCTCTTTCTCAGAGGTTTACAGAAAATGTCCCCCAAGTCCTCATGTGTGATAAACATAACCCAAATGGGCGGGGAGGTCAGACTCAGGTGTGAGCAGGGGGTATGGCTGGCCATACCTGCAAAGCTGTGACATGCAGGTGTTAAGGCAAGAAGAGAAAAGCACTAGGCAACATGTCTGGATAATCATGGCTTCCCTAGAGAGCTCCCCTCTCTTATTCCATGAGTATAACTAGTCCAAGAAAGAAATGGTTGGCATTTGTTTTTTCTCAGAGCTGCATCTGTGAAAATGTGCAGTCCATGCAGGCATGCATGGGCCCCAATCTGGCTGGGAACAAGCAACCAGTAGCCACCAAGGCTCGAGTTCCAGGCAGCTCTGAGACATAAATGGCTGCAGGGTAATGAGGGCTGGCGAGAGGGGCCTGCATTCCAGCAACTCCAGCGAAGCCTGGGATACCCAGCTGAGCCAGAGGTGAGGCCAAGGCAAATAGTGGAGAAAAGATCAACTAGGAAAGTGAGAACCCAAGATGCCTAGCCCATAAAAGCTCAGGCATAAACAGCATGGAGACAGACTTCCTCCTGTGTCTCCCTGGCTGTCACATGTGCCCACTGGCTGCCAAGACATCCCAAGTGACACCCACAGACGATGACACACAACAGTGGAGATTCAACAGGACTCTGCATTCCATTTTTCTAGCCTAATATACATTTCAGCTATTCGTCCATGCAACAAGAAAAAGGAAACTTTCCAGTGAAATCCCTTATTGTAATGGGACGTTGTGCGTGACGCCCACAGCGGTGCAGGGAACTGAGGGCACCAACTCCCTCTGGGTCTTGGAGGCTCACAGACAGATTGTTCTAAAGAAGAGATTTACTTTTAATTGTTACCCCAATGGTCCTGCTGTTCACATCTCTCTCAAAGTGTTCTCTGCTCTCTATGCAAGGGGTAGGGACCCCAGAGGGACACTGCATCCTTCAGGGGGGCAAAGAGACAAGTGTTATGAGTCCAGAACTCACAGGAAAGCTAACTTTCTAACAATGAAAGGTGAAAAGAAGAATGATGCTAATTGCAAAAGATTGACTAATTGGACAGAACTCCTTGAGGAAACTCTAAAACTAGAGAAGAGGCCATTCCAATACCTAGCAAGTAGACAACTCAGAGAGAAAACAGAAATCTCTACCAGGGGTGGGAAGTGTGCAGAAAGCCTGCATCTTTTGTGTGGTGGAATCGTGGCATGTCTTGGAAAGGAGAGCCCTTCCTATTGACTCCCAGAGTCTGGTGTGCAGGGGTCTGGTCTCCATCCTATTCTTTAGCACTAGCTGCTTAGCTTGAGGTAAATGCTTCATCTTTCTGGAAATCAAGTTCCTCCTCATCAAATATGGGCTATCTAATCTACCAGGGAAAGCTGTGTTGAGAACAGATGACCCAGTTTATTTTTGTGTGCGTCAGTACTGGGGCTTGATCTCTGGACCTTGTGCTTTTGCTTTGTTTATTCTGCTCAAGATTGGCACTCTACCATCTGACCTATACCTCTACTTCCATGACACAGTATAATGGAACACTTCTCACCAAATGCCAAAGACCATGGTGAAATATATAAACTTGGACCACCACTTCCACGACTACCACATGACCCACCCAAGATGCGTCTGGTGCCCTGCCTACGCTAATAGAGTCACATGACCAGAGACATAAGCCTTAGTTTTTCTAAGTCTGTTTCCTCACTGGAAAACAGAGAACATTGTTGATGGGTAGATTTTGGGAGTCTTTGAGTGATTACCTATACACACTTATAGAAGCACCCAGCACCTAGCCAAAATCAGTGGCCATTTGCTGCAGTGGTAATTCTATTTACTAGCAGACAGAATGCCTCCACTGAAATCCTGACAAAGCAAAGCAGGGGAAGGACAGAGTGGGAGGGCACAGGCTGAGTCCCTGATATGTGGAGGACATTTTTTCTCAGCTATGCTAAATGAAGCTTTTCAATTCTATAATTGTGCCTAGTCAAGTTGTATTCACCTTTAATGAAATGATAAAATGATCTATGGAAGAAATGTACTTATTAACAAGCAGCTTCCCAAGTATAGCACCTGAGATCCGAATGAATTCAAGCTGACTTCCCCGACTCTCATTTTTGCACCCACCTTTGGGTTGGAGCAAACTGCACTCTAGTGTCAGAGCCCCCGGTCAGACAAGACCTTGCCCTGTGAAGGACAGAATTGTGCTTGTCCGACCCCATGCTCAAAGGCCAGAACGCAGCGAGTACATCACACCACACTTCTGAGAGCAAGCATGCTGCTAGGGAAATGTTCCCCAGCAAATGTTCCCCAGGACACAGTAAGTAACACCCGGCACCTTATTACAGCTAACAAAGATCCAAGCTTTACCTTGTTGGTCAAACACAGGCAAAGGCTGAACAGAGGCAGCGACGCAGAAGTCCAAGCCTAGAATGCCACTTCCTCTTCACAGCCCTGCTGAGAAAATCAGCAACAGCAGTGTGGAGAGGCAAAATCATTGCTGCTTCACAAAAGAAGAAATCAAACACTAAAGAGCTAGAATTTCCCCGCAGTTAGGCACTCTTGAATAAGTGCCACCTGCAGTTTTTGCCATGTGAGCAGTGAATATTTCAGGCCCTGTTTCCTCCCCACTCTGCATGGCAGAGAACGGATGCTCACACCTCCAGAGTTTGCTCCAACCCCCAAAGTCCAAACCAAATACCAACACCCTGGGAAGCCCTATAAATCCTTATACTACAGGTTAGCGGGAGTCAGCACCACCATGCAAGAGGTGATGTGGAAAAGCAGGTGCTGCTCCCACCTTCATGACCCCTGATCCCCTCTGTTTAGAAGCCTCGGAGGTTCCATTTTCTGTCTGCAAGCAGTGTCAGGGACCAAGTCTGTGAACTACGTCAGAGTTGCTTGCTATCACTTGCCAGTCATCCTGGCCTGGCTTTTCTAATCACTAAACTGCAGACGTGTTAATAAAGACGACCATGCAGTTCTCCTCCAGTGAACTTTGGCAGGCAATCGCTCTATCTAATAAGAATATAGCCAGGCAAATAGTTTATAGTGTTGAGAGATATTAAAATTGTCAAAAAATGCACAGGGGGAGAAGGCATTAGATATACATATTCCAAGTTATTAAAAAGTGAAAAAAACATAACGGTGAGATTAATGTTACAGAACCAGTGTGCACCTCTAGAAATGAAGGGTTTAGGCTATATGAAATACCTCCTGTGCGCACGGATGCGCGATGGCTGTTGGAAGAACCTGTGTGCAGAATCTGAATGAGTGATAGGCTGCAAGCACCAAATGAAATTCAAGGAGAAAATAAAATTTCCCTTGAAAGAACATTCTTTAATTATGAAGAAGGGTGTCTGGGATTACCCTACAGAAATCCTGCAAATCCTCCTT